AGTGAATTAGATACATTAAATGATGATTTATTGTCTTTTATACAAGGAGGATACATTAACCATCTAATTAACAAGCCCCAGACAATGACAAACCCCTTCCAGACTCCGCAGCTAAACCCTAATGCAGACATATTCAGTCCTGTTAGAAGTCACATCCCAGATATGAATGTCAGCAATAGGGGTGATCCAGTACGAAGGAAGCCACAGGAATTCGATGAGAAGGCACCGTGGGAAGCATATAGAGCACAATTTGAGCTACTGGCAGAAATGAATGGATGGACAGAGGAGCAGAAAGCAGTATATCTGGCAACAAGCTTGAAGGGACAACCACTGGAAATACTTGGACAGCTGTCAGCAGACGACAGGCACAACTATAGAGGGTTGGTAGCGGTTCTAGATCTCAGGTACGGAACCCAAAATCAGTCTGAAGTCTACAGGGCTAGATTTAGGACGAGAGTCCGTGCTAAAGGGGAGAGCCTGCAAGAGTTGGCACAGGACTTTGAAAGCATGGCACACAAGGCCTACCCAACTGCACCACCCGATCTCTTCAAGTTGTTACTGAGGGATCAGTTTGTAGATGCCTTGGGCAGTCCACAACTGAAAATACAAGTGAAGCAAGCACACCCCTGTACTATGCAGGATGCAATGGCCAGAGCTCTTGAATTTGAATCCTACGTTAAGTCCAGCACAGAGGTACCAAGGTTGGTCATCAGGATTCAAGGCCAGAAAAGGTCATCTTTCAGAGAAGTTGATCACGAATCTTGCGTGTCATCATATTTTGGCGCTGCTTTGCAGGTGTAGATGCGTATGTTTACGTATGATAATATAGGTATTAGAAAATTATATTTTATTTAAAGACAAATAATCTTTTATTGCTTCAGATCTATTCAAAATGCCGCCTACCTAGAAAATAAACTTTGTACCTGATAATACATGGAAAATGGATGATCTCTACTGTATTCTGTATGAATAATACAAAATTCCTTAAATTCAATAATGATCTGAATGACATACCTCTTGCACATGTGCACCAATTTTCTCTAAGATTTGTCTCAAAGAGGCTCAAATTTTGACAGTTTTGTCTACAGGATTGAAGGGATCAAGTTATTATTGATTTGAAAGATACCAAACACTCGTAAAAGAAAATGCACAAAGCAATGAATTTATGAAGTTGATCCTATCCTTTGATTAGCAATAGAGATACTTTATGTATCCAAAATATTTGCATTAAGTCATTTGTTATACTAACATGTACATCTTGAATCAACGCTTTATAATAGTTAATTTTTAGTTCTTTTCATACATCGCAGAAATATTACTGAATTTATTCGAGAAAAGCATACATAAATTATCTACACCAGGGGTTCCCAAACTTTTTAGAATCGCGACCCACTAATCATGACCACAGCTTATGGCGACCTACTCAAATTTACTGGGCAAAAACATATGAAAGAATATAAAAAATATTATTTATTCATATTCACGTATTTCAATTACATTTAAAAATACTCATGTATTTTCAATAACATTTCCAGAACTTATAAATGCT